CTACAAATAAAAATTTGCCTTGCCAAGACTCCAAGAGCAATACCCCTTTAATTAATGAACTTTTGAAGAGCCAATTCTCAAGCTTTGAATTTCACTTGGTTTTCATTCCACCAGACGTCAAACAGTAACATTTCAAAAATTTCATATAATAGCTGGGTTTGGGTAAGGTTTCAGGCTACCTCCTAATTCTAAGTAGCAGACTAGAGTAGTTTTTCTTCCTCCCCAGTACATCTCCACAAAGCATCTCTCTTGACTTTAGCCAACAAATAAAATGTTTTGCATCCTTAAGGCATTTTTATTTATGAACTTTTTGAAGGCCAATTAAAGCAATCAACAAAGATGATAGATCAAAAAAGTTTTGGAAGTGTTTTGGATATTGTGAAAATCATAAGTGAAGCCTGGAATTAGGAATTTGGAGGAAACTCCCTTATTCAATATTTTTGAAGGCATTTGTATAACTAAAAATCATCACTGAAACTGATTGACAATGCAGAGTGAGTGGATCTAGAAGTTAACTTCTGTAAACCTGGTTATGTTGTTAGAAATTTCTCAGAAGCTCAGCGAAGTAGATATTTTTTTTTAAAAATGGAAGAGTAAGACATCATTGAAACTGTCCCTCTCCTAACATTTAGTTTTCACAAACTGAGAGGTACTCATCTGAACATCATTGAAATTTTTTTTTCTTTGTGGCAGATGTCCCTAATTTTCAATGCAGTTCAAAGGTCTCTGGAGTAAGGAAAAAATCTATGTATGCTCTAGGAAGATTTACCAGGAAAAGATGGCATGTTCTGTCCCAACTTCATTAAACTAAGAGTCTAAGAAACCTCGGCCAGTCCAGCCCTTGAAGAAAAATACCTCAAAGGAACATTTATATCATAGTTCATATTGTTTAATTTTGTATGGTTAATAAATATTTTGAAGAATATTTGTTTTGAGTTCTGACATTCTTATGATATGAAGTGGATTACCAGCCCCAGCATACTGATTTATGCCAATGGGAAATAATGTACATCATCTGTATTTAAGGATGATTACTCAGTAGGAGAGTCACCTTTGTGAAGGTGAGAATATGGACGCTTGAGGGAGTTAAACAATTTAGGAATAGGTACTCAGAGCAGAACCAAAATTCCTACTCGGATCTCATTTGAAGAACTGTGTTTTTCCAGACACTTGAAAGTTGAGGACAAAAACCAATTAAAGGACAGGGCAGTTAGCAAAGGATAGTAAGAAGGAACAATGTAAGAATGAGGAAAGTCGGGAGAAATCTTATGTCATAGATACCAATAGAGAACTTCAAAGAAGAAATCAATTAACCGATAAGATTAAATGATTTAAAGGTCTGAGAAGGCACCTAGAGTTCATTAAGAGATTTTGATAAGAAGTGCTGGTAGAGGGGGAACAAAAGCCAGTTAGCAGTGGGTTGGGATGTGAACAGGATATGAAGTAGAAACAGCAAGATAAATCATTTTTAATGTGGTTAAAGGGAAGAAAGAGTTATAGCTAGAAAGGAATTTTGAGTTTTGTTTTTGATGAACTTTATTATAAACTTACTGTGGGCTAAGTGTTTTACAAAACACAAAAACATTTAATCCTCATAGAACCCCATGACATCAGTGGTAGTGTACTCATGTAATTCCTGCAACTCCAGAGGCCGAGGCAGGAGGATGACAAGTTTCAAGCTAGCCTCAGCAATTTAATGAGACCCTGTCTATAAATAAATAAATGAAATAAAAGGCTGAGGATGAAGCTCAGTGGTAGAGTTGTTTAATACCCAGTACCACACCACATACACATACAACTCCATGACAAAATCTGCATTTTATACGTAATATTCAGAGAAGTAAAATGAATTTCCCAGATTACATAGCTACACTCTCAGGAGTCAGAGCCCAGAGTGCTGCACTGAAGCACACTAGCTTAATTCAGAACAAATGTTCTGTTCCTACAGCAGAAAAGGAATGAGCATGGATGAGACAAATTTGGAAGTGTTCTGGGGAATGTAGAAAATGGAGGTGGGGAATTCCCAAATGATGGACTCTCTTCTGAAGTTAGAAGTGAATTCCATGAATTCAAAGTGTTAAAGCGGCCTGAGGACAGACAAGTGGAAGGAACACTTTCCATTCCTTGCGAATGAGGTGGGTAAAAAGTTTTTTAAAAAAAGTTTTCAGGGCTGGGGATGTGGCTCAAGCGGTAACGCGCTCGCCTGACATGCGCAGGGTGCTGGGTTCGATCCTCAGCACCACATAAAAATATAATAAAGATGTTGTGTCCACCGAAAACTGAAAAATAAATATTTAAAAATTCTCTCTCTCCTCTCTCTCTTTAAAAAAAAAAGTTTTCAGAGTATAATACACAGCTCTTTAAAGCAGTGTTTAAAGGTGTTTTATAACTTGGGGAAATGCATGTATTATATAATAAAGTGGAAAAAAATCAGCAAGCAAAACTGTGTGTGTGTGTGTGTGTATATATATATATATATATATATATTTAAAGCATTAAACAAAAGAGCATGAGACTAAAATGATCATTAATTGAAAACTTCAATTATGGGGCTGGGGTTGTGGCTCAGCGGTAGAGTGCTTGCCTACCGTGTGCAAGGCCCTAGTTTCGATCCTCAGTGCCACATAAAAATAAATAATAAAATAAAGGTATTGTGTCAACTATAACTAAAAAATAAATAAAAAAAGAAAACTGTGATTATGAAAAATTTCCCTCTCCTTTTTCATTTTAAACTTATCCTATTTTATTTTAAAAAAATATTTATTTTTTTTAAATATTTATTTTTTAGGTGTAGATGGACACAACACAATGCCTTTATTTTTATGTGGTGGTGAGGATCGAACCTGGGTCCTGCCCGTGCTAGGCGAGCGCTCTACCACTGAGCCACAATCCCAGCCCCTTAAATGTTTATTTTAGTAGTAGTTGGACACAATATCTTTATTTAATTTATTTATTTATATGTGGTGCTGAGGATCAAACCCAGGGCCTCGCAACGAGCTAGGTGAGCACTCTACCGATGAGCCACAACCCCAGCCCCAATTTATCCTATTTTAAACAATAAGTTTTATTTTATAATAAAAATAAATTTTAAAAACATTTGAGGTTATTAACATGCACAGTACAATCTGGGCAAATCACATGGCTTACCAAGATTTGTCCAATGATGATGCCCATTCTTCCTCCAGATTTCTGATAATTGAGACCACTCCTTTGAATTCAGGTATACCAAATGGAGTTTTTCCTAGAATCTTCACCAGCATAGATGGGGAAACAGCTCCCATTTTTTTTGGTCCCCCCTCCACAGAAGGGGTAGTAGTATTTGCAGGAAAAGAGAATGAACCAATAATTGAGAATGAGGAGAGCAAGATCTAAGTGTCTTATTCCCCCTAATCTTGATTTATCTCCATGAGCTTACACAAGTTTTTCTTTAGCCTAAACTTTTTAAAGTCATTTTGTCTTTTTGGCCTAAGCTATTTTGAAGAGGGTATCAGTTGCTTAAAATTAAAAGAACTTGATTATTGCAACATAGTTCTCTAAACTGGCAGCCATGAATTAAATTTTATAGATTTTGTATGACTGAGAAATGTATGGCAAAGATCTGAGTGTTCCTGGGTTAATCCTTTTGTTGGAGCTCCTGCTGGATCAAGATGACATTTGACACAGTAGACTCCATCTCCTCTCTACCTACCTAATTTTCCCTGGTTACATATGATTAGAGCATCATTTTTTTTAGTGCCTACTTTGTACAAAGCCCCAGGCATAGCCCTTTTGAGTCTGCTGAACAGGATTAAGCACCACATTTTCATTAACAAGTAAAGAGACTTATGTAGTCAGGTGATTTGGACAATTAAATGTGCAGTTTGTTTTCCTGTTTGCCACACACTGTTGCTATGATTATCAAAGAAGCTATTCTTGAAGAAAGAGGCTAGAGATGAAGCAGGGAGATATCTTGGATTTATATTTGACATATAAAGTTGGGAAAAAGTACTGTTTTAAGCATCCTCATTCTGAAGATGTGTATATATATATATATGTGTGTGTGTGTGTGTGTGTATATATATATATGTGTGTGTGTGTGTGTATATATATATATATATGTATTCCATTCTGAGGGATGGAACAAATACTGAAGATGGGGAACAAATACTAAAGATATCTAAGATCTGGCTCCATCACATGCTTCTGGATTTTAGAGTCCTGGATTATAGAGTTCTGGCTCTGGCATTGAAGGGACCAAAGTGTAGAATGAAACTGCATCCATGCTTTCTGTGTTGATTGCATTCTTTGGTTTGTTTTTTTCAATCTGTGTTTATTTTGAGAACTTGCACTGTGCTAGGGATTATTAGCTAGTGATAGACACTGAGGAATACAAACAAGATATACAAGATGACCCCCTTCCATCACATACTTTTTTATTTGTACACAGTGTAGAGGAGGAATTAGGCAGAAATAACTGTATGTATAGAAAAATAAGTACTCTTTTTGGTTAACATAGTCACTATGAGGACCAAATGATATACAATCCATCAGAGAGAGAGGTAGGTGTTGCTATTCTGGGAGAGGTGACACTTCCTCTATGTCTTGAAAGATGAAAGACAAGTTTGCCAAGTGGATGAGGTAAAAGAGTTTCCTAGGTAAAGAGATTAGCACAAGCAAGGCACAAAGGAATGAAACCGCTTGGAGCATTAAGGGGTGAGAACATAACATGTGTTAGAGGAAAACAAGCAAGCTGGTTTTGCACATTGATTACTAGGAAGCCAGATCACTTTGCCACTTTCATGTTTTCTATTTCTGGGTTTCGATTCTGCAATAAACAAATGGCTAAGAAATAGGAACTTCTATTTATTCTTGTTCAGACAAGAGTAGAAAACAATGATGAATAAGCAAATGAGAGAAATGTATGTAAGAAGTCCTAGGCTGTGTCAATCAAGGAGTGAATCACAACAACCATGGGAAGAAAAGGAGAGAAGAATGTCCATTGTCATTGCAACTTTGGCCTTTTCTGAGTTCTGTCTTCTAAAAAGAGCCCAGAGTAGCTGCTCCTGCCTCATCACTGGCCCTGCTGTTTTCTTCATCAGATCAGTTCTAGGTACTGTCCCTCTTGCCCTCTGTACTATGTCCTTCTTCCTGCAGTGTGTCTGGTGCTGCCTCCTCTGTGCCCAAGCCCCTATGCCAAGACTTAGGGATTGACATGTTTTGCTTTTCCCTGTTTCCTGTTTCCTGAATACTGAGCAGTCCCTGGGGAGCTGATGGTGTAGGACAGGGCTGTATTTGGAGCTAAGCCTCTCTTCCCCTTTGGCAGAGCACCTGCTTCTCTTCCTTTCTTATTCCTTTTATCTAGAAAGGACCAGAAAGAGTAGCTCCCTCCCCACATATAGTAGAGATGTCTACTGTTGAACCCATCAGTATTGCTGTTGTGAGCTTGGCTGGAGAGCTTGCCAAGCAGGCTTGATTTGGGGTTTAGTGTGAAAGCTATAACTCAAGGAGATCCTAATCAAAGTGGCCAGAGGTACATAAGAGTTAAGTGAACACTTTTCCTGTTCTACACCTTCAATGACTATTTAAGTGGTTAGCACATTTATTTGGCATTTCCTTGACAAGTGGCAAGATTTTTTTTTTTTTTTTTTTTTTTGCATTGAACCCAGCAGGCCTCTATCATTTAGCTACATCCTCAGACCTTTTTTCTTCTCCTTCTCCTCCTCTTCTTTCTCCTTTTTTTCTACTTCTGAGACCAAGTCTAGTGAAATTGCTCAGGTTGGCCTTGAATTTTCCTTCCTCCTGACTCAGCTTCCTGAGTTGCTGGGATTACAGGCATGACCCACCATGCCCAGCTTACATAAGAGATAAAATCTTAGGGAGTAGTAAGAAAGGCCAATACAGAAAACCAAATTCAATTACAAGCAAATGCAGAAATCTTGGGTCCAGGCTAGTATCAGGAGTGAGTCAGAAAGGACTGGGACAGTTACCACCTGCCCTCAGCTGCTTCACTGGTTGTCAGTAGTGTGTAATTGGTATGTCATACTGGCTCACATATGAGCTCATATACACACAGGCTCACACATCTTAGAGTACCAGAGAATAGTCTGGCTTCACCCAGGAAGAGATCAAGACCCATGTGAGGAGTCTGCAACACACATGCCCCGTCCTCTCACATTTTCCTCTTCACAGGCTTTGGGAAGAGCTCCTTCTTCCCCCACAAGCTTCTTATGTGTGAAACTGGAGTGCATGCAGATTCAAATCTTCATGATTTTCCCTTTGCCTGGAGACTTGAAGTTTCTCCCTTTGGGCATAATAAAAAAGAGAGCAATTAGAGGTGAAATGATAATGATGTCAGAAGGAAGAGATAAGGCTGGGAGTATAGAGAGTCAGGCCCCTGGGTAACTTCCTGGACAGTAAAGTAAACAGCACTTGCAGATATTTTCTAAGAAACCTACAAAAAGGCTATTTTAAAATCAGGACTTATGTGACTGAGGTCCATGCCTCTTCAAAGAAGTAAAAATGCTTGATTGATATTTTGATTGGACTAAAGTTTGAATGAATAACTTGTGGACTCTGAGTGCCTTACCCAGGGGGCTGACTTCCTTGAACCTATAGATCTATATAAACCTCTGGACAATAGCCACTCTTTGATATCCCTTTCTTTGAACTCTTCCCTCTTTAGGAGCTCTGCTTTCTTTCTATTACTCTAATAAATCCTGTTACTTTGCTCCCACCCTTATATCTGTGGATTTTATTCTTCAAATTCATGAGACAAAGACCTCAACCCCATGCTCCATGCTACAGTAAGAGGGAGTGAACACAGAGAGCAGGATGTGAGTAGACCCTGTTATGGGTGGGAGAGATGAGAGGAGCTGAGGTGTCAGAAGTCAGCAAAGATAGAGACAGCCAAAGGGACTGAGACAGAGTGACAGCATAAGGAGAAGGGCTTGGCTATGTTTCTATGTGCTTTAACACGTGGATTTAGCATGATTGACATACTAAGGTTATGTAACTGTCTTTGGGGAATGGATTGAAAAACACTCACTTAGCAATGAAATATTATACTTCCTTCCACCCTGGAAATTGTCCTTGCTACACAGGGTGCCCTCCATGCTCAGTGGCCAGGTCTGTACTATGTGACCATGTCCCCACTGCTAGTTATTTGGTATAGGGTCAGATACATGAATCAAGAGGACTTGTTGGACCTCATCACAGCTCTCTGCTGCTGGCAGCTGGGATATGAGAAAGTCCAGGGAGCTGCTGACATTCGTGTGATGCTGAGAATTCAGGCTGCAATGTTGTTAAAGGTTGAAGCAGATTGCAGAGAGACCAGACATTGAAGACTTTGTTCCAGAGGCATCTGACAGAGGCCCACACTCAGGGTTTCCCTCCTATTCCTCTAGTTTAGTTGAAACTTGAAGCACTCAATTATCCTTCCAGTTAAGTCTCACCTGCTTTTCTTAAAGTCCTTGGTTCATTTTTTATTTCTTGAGCTATGCAACAAGAATGCTCACTTGATGACAAACAAGGTAGGTTAAGTTAATGGTACCCAGAGCTTTGTTCATCCTGAGACTCCTATAATTGTACACCTCTACATCTCAGTTGGACCCAGGAGGAGCTAGGTCAGTGGAGACTATTTCCCTCTAGCCAGTTTTGATAGTCCTGTTGGCATCTACATTTCCAGTAAGGTGTCAGTCCACTCATGTAAGACCACAGTTCAGGAGGCAGCATGAGACCAGAAGCCTAGGCACATACCTGGAGTGTCCTCAGAAAAAGGACATCTATTTTCAGCTTTATGTGTGACCCAGCCTCTTTTTCTACTAAGCTTAATATCTGCAATGAAGCGAAATCCATTTTTAAACATGCAGGCAAATCCCCTGCACATGCTTACTCTGAATGTGCCTTGTATTTCATAAGTCACATCTATGCCAAATCAAGATGGGCTGCTGGCCAAGACACAGTACTTCCTCCTAAAGTCATCTGTGGGAGGAGAGTTAACAGTTGAGCAATTCAGGACCTTAAAGGGAACATAGTGTTTTTACATTCAACAACTTGCTGATTAAAGAAATGTTTGGGACACTTTAATAAAGCTTGAATTGGTAGTAATGAATATTGTTCAAGTTCCCTTTCCTGTTTTTGCAAAGAGAAAGCTAAAGAACACAAAGTTCAATTTGGCTATCATTAATTTTTTCTGCAAAGCTAGAGATTGAACCCAGGGCCTCTTACATGTGAGGCAAGAGCTTCATCACTAAGCTACATCCTTATCCCAGAAAGTTCGATTTGGGTTTTTTTTTTTTTTTTTTTTTTTTTTGGGTGGTTCTGGGAATTGAATCACCAAAGGCCAGATGCATTCATGTGCTCTACTACTGAGCTACACCCTAGCCCTTTTAGTTAAAAATTTTAGTGTGTGTGTGATATTGAGAATTGAACTCAGGGATCCTCTACCACTGAGCCACATCCTTAGCTATTTTAATTTTTTATTTTGAGAAAGGGTCTCCTTAAGTGGCTAACCTCAAATTTGCAATCCTTCTGCCTCCACTTCCCAAGTAGCTAAGAGTATAGCCCTATGCCTCAGCACCTGATTCAGAATGTTCAATTTTGACCACGTACAGTTTAAGGTCCCTGAGGGGCCCTGGGATGGCAATGGCCAATGGACAATCAGCTATATGTTAAGGGCCAGGACTTAGATTTGTGTATCACCAGCATTTGGAGAATTCTTGAAATCTTGGGTATGAGATAATCTGACAATAATTTATAAAATGTCAGAAGTATAACCAGGACAGAGTACTGGGGATAGCAACTATGGCGTTGATGGGGAAAAAGGGATTAGTGGGGAAGAGGGAGGAGAGCATTCAAGGAGATGGAAGAAAGTGAGGGGGAACCAGCAGCTCAGTAGCCCCAGGAGAAGATAAATAGTGGTCAGCACAGAGAAGAGGAATGGGAAGAAGATAAGGACCGAGGGGTTCCTCCAATTGAACCACAAGGAAATCTCCATAATATTGGAAAGAGCGGCTGCAGTGGTGCAGTGTAGAGAGAATCCAGATGTCAGGGGGTTGAAGATCCTGGAACCTGTCTATAGAACAGGATTTACCCTACATTGCTCAGCAGCATGTAATGTCGTGAGATGAGGAAGGGAGAGCTGCAAGAGAAGATGACTATGCTTGGAGAAAGAGGTTTTTGTTAGGAAGTATAATACTTCTAGGTGATGACAAGGTGCAGCATGTGACCAAGGGGATGAGGATCCCGAGCTATAAGAAGACCAAAAGTCATGAGAGATGAGGAGTTGGAGACTTTAAGACATAGAATGTGCTAACCACAGGAACACCAAGTGGCCCAGTATGATGGCAGTATTTCCCCTGGAAGCCTGTGAGTCAGGAGCCAGAATTCTCCATGAATGCTGGGGAAGTTAGCAGATGGCAGTACAAAGAAAGGAACCTCAAAGAAGAGGGAAGGTCTAATGAGGCAGTGAGGGAGGAAAGATAATGATTATCTTTGTGAGGTAATAGGTGGGCTATGAAAATCAGTTGGCTTCTCTCAAGAGGTAATCAAAGAGCCAGGAATGGTAGCCACATGCCTGTAATCCCAGTAGCTCAGGAGGCTGAGGCAGGAGGATCTCAAGTCCAAAGCCAGCCTCAGCAATTTTGTGAGGCCCTAAGCAACTCAGAGACCCTGCCTCTAAAAAAATACAAAAAAAAAAGGGGGGCTGGGGATGGGATTGTGGCTCAGTAGTAGAGCACTTGCTGGGCATGTGTGAGGCACTGGGTTGGATTCTCAGCATCACATACCAATAAATAAATAATTTTTTTTAAATGGGGGTGCTGAGGTTGTAGCTCAGCAGTACAGTGCTTGCCTAGCACGTGTGAGACCATGAGTTTGATCCTCAGCACTACACAAAAATAAATAAATAAAATAAGGATATAGTGTCCAACAACAACAAAAAAGGGCTGGGAATGTGGCTCAGTGGTTGAGTACTCCTGAGTTCAAGCCCCAGTATCCCCCTCCCGGCTAAAGAACACACAAGACAAAAAAAAAGGAAGTAATCAAAGGAGCAAGATAGGGTGGCATGTACCTATAATCCCAGCTACTTGGGAAACTGAGGCAGGAGGATTG